TGTCGAAACGTTGTACATTTGCTGTTATGTTAAACTTATATTAAAGATTTTCTTCATTACCCATTCAAATAGTTAAAAAGTCAGAATTTTTTTAGAGTTAGGGGAAGTTGTCTACTTTTTTAATATTATTAGTCTATGTTCTTTGGTGCATTATTTAATTAAATAAAAATTATTAAATGCATTAGTATTAGTACTATAAAAAGTTAGGGTTAACTCAACCACAAGAAAAAATAAGATTAGTTAAATATTTTATTTCTTGTTTTTCATATTTATTCTTTATTTATTATTATAAATGTAACTGAAATCTAAAAACACAGATACTTTTAAGTTATTTAAGACTAGATTAGGTAAAATAAGTAATAATAATAATATAATAAAAATGGTTCACCAGGTACATATGGGAGTAGCTTGTGGGTAATGTAATTCGATAGCGTAACTTGAGCTACTCGTTCTCCAAGTGATTTACAACTTTTTTTATGGCACAGAAAGTAGTTAGACACAGTTCAAAGGACAATAAATTTGAATTATAAATAGATGTATAATGTTACGAACTTAGAGTTGCTTAGGATAAACGAATGTAGTTTCATGTTACAATTTGAAGTCATTCTACAAAGAAAAAAAGGTTAATTTAGGTTTATTTCACTTTTTGTTTGGTAGTTACAAGGTAGGTCAAACTGACCAATCCAGTTTTGAGATAGGGTAGAGAAAATAACTGATAAACTATAAAATTTTACAGCAAAAATACGTTTAACAAATCTTTTAGGAGGTTTTAGGGATTACACAAAAGAAATTTGAGATTTTTGAGATGAGGAAAAGTATTTTTAATTTTGAAATGAAAATTACTTTGCCCACAGACTATTCAAAACAAATGCTCATTATATTCGTGGACAAATCTTTATTTTATTTTATTAAAAATACTTCACTAAGAAATATGACTTTTGTATGTGAAAGACTTGTAATATTAATTGAAAGACTGCCAAATTTCGTGAAGACATACCCACCATATTGAGAGTTATAAGTATTAAATCTATAAAGGCTTTAAACGAGTACAAAAAGGTCACGTGGACAGTTAAATTGACCAAGCCCGTATTGAAAGTGTTAATTAAGCCATAGGGTTTCCTGTTTTGGCCTACTGTTCCTCTCATTCTGGATTTTCTTACTTGGCTGTTCAATGATTGGGCTTTTGTCTCTTCCATTACAGGTTATCAAACAGCCTTGTCCAACACCTTCAATTTTTCCAGGTATCATGTTGTGTATTTTTCTCCTAACATTTCCCTTTTATTGCATTCCTTTTGGATTCATTGACCTCCTCATCAGGTCGTTCTTCCAGATTGGAATGTCACTATTATTCTTCACAGCCCCACACTCCCTCCATTTGAACCTTTGTCCTTTTGTTCCCTGTTGCACCTATCCTTTGAAACTTATTTCCTACACTTTTTAGCCTGTGTGCATTGTCAGTCTGTTATCTTTGTGAGTGATATTTCACATACCCTGTACCACTCTCCTTTATACAGATCGATCTTTTCTGCTCAAAACTTTGGCAGTTCATGAGGAACATTTTTCATTCATGCTGTTTCCCTTGCCTTCAATTCCCACCTTTATTTTCGGTCTGAACTGGATTGACTTCTCTATCCTCTTTGTACTCTTTGATGTTATATTGCTCTCATGGCCTCTTTCTGTGGTTCCCGATCCCACCTTTACATTCCTAGAAACCTTTTCTCTTTACATGACCTTTCACCTTCTTCCCTTACAGGTTGGGTTCGTCAGCTTGTTATACTGGCATATTCCTCCCTATCTCCTCTTCCAGCAATTTGTTCTAGGTGTCATCGCATCCACTATGGTACCTAACCTTTTCCATAACATCTCACCTCCATTGTCCATTGGAGGAAGTTCTTCAGTCAGGCATTTGGATGATACTTCATCTTTTTACATCACACTACCTTCATCAGGTGGCTGTTTCGTCCTCATCAAGGTACCAGCTTCTGCCTGTTGTCATCCTTCAAACATTGGTTTGACTGTGATTTGGTAATGTTACGACAGCGGAAGTCACGTAATGAGTACCTAGAAGGATCGGGGAACATCATGAATAATCCAGTATTTGCTAGATGCCTTCTATTCCTGTATATAAGTGCGTCAGATAAAGCGAGACAATTAATCGGAACTGGAATAGCAGACAGAGAGATTGAAGATATAGCCAGATAATCGAGTCAAGCCGTAAGTAAAGTGTGTAAATTATTGTGAATTATAGCATGTGTTTAAGTTAAAGTGACTGTGGAAATTAAGTGTATTGCAAAGTTGTATTGAGAAAGAATAAACTAGTTCTATTTAAGAATGGACTTGTACGCTGAAGTTCTTCGGAAAGAATTTATATGAAAAATTAACAAACGACCAGAGACGTAACAGTAAGTTACATTTTCTATATATATATTACTTTTGCTTACAGTGGCATTTCCCCTTTAGTTTTAGGATTCTGCTCAGTGGCACTGTATGACCAACCATAAATCATACTGAGTTATATCATCAGCCACTGCCTAGTGACTCATTGCTCCACCTCCACGAAGTGGGTTCCAGAGGACGATTGTTGCATGGGTTACATACAGCTACTCCTAATGCTTCACTTCAATGGGGTTGGGCCTAGAAGTTGATGTTGCTCGGGATAGGTTGGCGAGGGTTGTATGGGATGTCCCACCAAAGTTGTTTTTGGGTGGCAGCTAATCCTACCAATTTCAATATATATACCCATGGTCAATAATGCACACTGTCGAGATGGGGCATTTCATATGATTGCTGCCATCCCTTCAGTTGAATAAAGCAGGAGTGGTCTACTTTTGAAAATAGGGTTTTCATGGTCACCCATTGCACTGTCTCCAGTGTCAGTGTTCCACTGGACTCTCCACTGCATTTATCCCTCAATTGATTCTAGTGGAGTATGAGAGTCCTTGCCAATTTCCAGTTTCTAGCCACTGGGGTGGAGGACCATCGAGGCATCCTCCTGAATGGGATCACTTCCATTCACTAGAGAGTAGGGTGGTAGTGTTCTGCCAGCATAGATGATGTAGATCCTCCACTCGTGTTCTCCACCTCTGTGCAGTAGGTCCCAAAGGTTGATGTTGCATGTCCATGTGCTCCAGCTTCTGTGGAGTCCTATCCATGGATTGATGATGCACATATATGCATGTGATTAGATCTGCCTCGTTGCAGTTTACCCCTATGATTGGGATCCCTCATCCTACTATCGACTGGATTTTGGTTCCCAGTTTGTGGTTTTGGATTAGAGCTAGACCACTCATCATAAATCCTTACATATGTGTTGGTCATGATTCCTCATTTATCTCAGTCATGGGTTTTTGCCTCAGGCACTCCACCTCCATGTGGTGGGTCCTGGAGGTTGTTGTTGTTGTGCAGATCTGGTTTGATATGCCCCAGCTCTGTGGTTGCTCGAGGTGTTGGCTGGTCATCCATGCACTCCAACTTCTGTGCAGCCCTATCTGGAAGATGATCTTGTGCAGGGTGTTTGTTGTCCCTCTGGTGATCTACCTTAGGGAGGTTCACCACTTGAGGCAGATGTAGCATAGAGTGTAATTGCTCCAGTTGTTTTTGGATTTGAAGTGAACTTCCACTTGGCACATCCCTTCCTACCATCATTGAGATGGTAGGTTCACAGATGACTGGTGTTGGTTGTGAATTTGCACACATATGCCCTACCTAGTCAACTAGTATGGATGTTTTCTCCTTCTGTTCTACTTCACTTGAGGTGAAGATTGTGTAGACCCTCCTCCTACCATGGGTCATTTTAAGTTTGCCCATTGCTGCCTAGTTCTGAACTGGAATTGACTTGCCGAGTATGGTCTGTTGCACCCTAGCCATTCAACACCATGGGACACATTTAGTTATTTGATGTGCTTCTCCCCATTTCTGCCAATTTATGTGACACTTACTACCTAACTGGACAAAGAGTATACCTGGTACAGAAGTGGTGCAGTCTCCCATGTGTGCTCTTCTCCCAAAAGGGGTTCACACTCCATGGCTGTTCTTTGGACCTTTCGAAGGATACTCATCAATATCCCTTGCACCAGTCCCTCCATCTTTTCAGTGTGGAATTCTAGCTTTTATGTGAGTGGAAGTATAGTACTGTATCAGAAGTTCTTATTTTCCTACACTGAAAATATATTTGTGATGGGTGCTTACCTCTTCTTACACTTCCAACCTTTCCTCTCCACTTGAAACCGGTGCTTACTTTTTGTGAATCTTGAAATGATGGTTAGGTAGAATCAGAATAGAGGGAGTCACGTATTGTGGGTGTGTCGTATAATGATTTACATGTGAAGACACAGTGAACCACGTTAATGGTGGTGTAGATGGGAATTTCAAGGCTTGTGGCATGTGAAAAAGTTTGCATACAGAGGGCAGCACTGAACAAGAATAGCTATTATGTGAGAAGAGTTAAGTACCTATTGGAAATATATTTTCAGTGTAGGAAAATAATAACTTCTTTATAATAGCATGACAAAGATATGTACATTTAACTGTTTGAACTTCTTGTAGGAGTTTAAGATATGTATTTATAATTTACTCTTCACTCACATGTATATGCATATATAAGTACATTTTATGGAAGAAAAAACTTAAATTTTTGTATTTGATGTTAAAGGAGCACAAAGGTTAAGGATATTTGACCATTTTTGTGGAAAATTGGATGAATAGTTGCATAGGCAACATGTATGATTGTATGTAAGTTTTATCTGACAGTTATCTTAGTTATCAGCTTATAGCTATATATATATGATTCCATTTCCGGTCTTTATTTATGGGTTAAAGATCTTAATTCTGTTTGTTTACACATGTGAACTTCATATTTGTAATTGGATTAAGCATCATTTTTCTTAGTGTATTAAGCTTAGATATACAAGCTTTAGAGAGGAAATGCTTTGTAGCATTTTAATTAATGCTAAATCTGAAAATTGTGATAATGATGAACTGAATGTGTTTAAGCAAGAAGGAAAAGTACAACAATAAGACAAAATAAGTTCACACATATGTTATGTCAAAATTATTGTATTAGCAAGCTTTTGATCTCATTCTGGGGATCATCTTCAGGCCAACTGGACACTACAACTTGCAGATACAACAACTTAAAATGATATGTGTATAGCATGTGGAATCATGATACCACAATGATACAAGTTCAACAATTAATTTTTGTATTGTCTTTAATCTTAGAAACATGGGAAGTAGCAAAAAAGAATCCTAATTTCCTTACTTTGGTGGTAGATTTATATAGAAAGTAGTCTTTGAATCAGTTAAGGATACAAATATAATCATATTTTTGTTCAAGTCCTTATCACCATGTAATTATGTTGCAATCTGCGTTATAAAGGCTTTTGATGATTAAACATTTAGCAGATGATATTCTCTCACTTAGTTTGCACTCTTAAGAGATCCATTTATTCTATGATTTAAAAGAATACAGCTGCTTAAATTTAAATCTTCTTTTAGAAGTTTTTCAACTGCAATAACCTAAAACCCAAATATTTCAAGATTTCTACAGGAAAATCCAGTTTATCATAATTTAATTTTTTTTCTATCATAGTGTAGTTAATGGAGCAGAAAGTTTTAATTATTTTAATGCAAGTCTTTATCTGTTTTTGTATTCTTATATGTTTTTTTTTTCTACAGGCAATAAATTCCTTGCAAGAGTGCTCTTTACAAGAAGCAGCTGAGCTCCATGATATACTCAGTAAATATGAATTTGAAGGCTTGATGTTTGCCCATGACAAAGTTGCTGAGAACCAGGCTCTTCCAGAAGTGACTCCTGATGAGGAGTTACTTGATCTTGCTTCTCAATATACTGAAGATAGTGTTAAAATTGTCAGGATAGACAAAACAAATGAACCTTTAGTAAGTCAAAACTACTTATTAGTAACTCTAGTTTAACAGATGCTAGGATTAGTGAGCATATATTGTGGATAATTGTAAGTAAGCATTTTCTGCATATTTAGCACATTTCCTGATGTTAAATACTCTTACCCTAGCAAATATTGTTGAAAAGTATAGTGTGTTCAAACTTGGAAATGTCTGCTGATTCGATGAAGTTATGTTATGATAAGATATCTACTGAAGTCCGCTTTGTACCAGGAGACAAGGTGTGGTTGTATAATCCCAGGAAGACCAAAGGGAAGTCTCCTAAGTTGTCATCTCCATGGGAAGGCCCATATGACATAGTGAATCATCTCTCAGATGTGATAAAATGTGGTCAGCGAGGTAAGCCAAAGTTGGTGCATGCCAACAGGCTTTGGCATTATTATGGTCCAGGACATTTCAGTTGGAACAAATGACGCTGCTGAAGACGTGTCACCTGAAAAAGCCACTGTCGAAGAAGAAACTCTACTT